AATGACTTGCAAAAATGAAAATAAGAGGTAGATGTGTCGCTAACCTGATCTGCATGAATCAACATCATGAAAGCATTCCTCTTGCAGCTTGCATCTTTTTCATTCACAAGGAAATCATGGATCAGCTCAGGGGCATCCGGGATGAGATGTTCAAAGTTCCTGAAACAAATAATTATAACCAAATGGGAGTGGGTTTTTTTTCTACAAATACACACACACACACACACACACACACACACACACACACACACACACACGAGGTAATTTCCCCACAAATTTTGTGGTGTCCTAGAGTGCCCTTTAAATAGTTTGAAATTTATACCTGTAGATGGTATAAATGGCCAGGACGGCATTCCGCCGGACATAGCTGTGCCGGTGCTCCAAGCAAGCGCGGATCGCTGGCATGAGAGGCTCAAGCAGTTCAGACTCCTTCAACTTGCACAGGAAACGGAGGGTGGAGCCTCGGATGAACTCATTGGGATGCTGCAGGTCCTATAATTCAAGTAATATCTCTGTATTAATTGATGAAAGGATTATAATGACAACTTAGCAAATTGTTTTTTTATTATGTGATAACAGACTCGTAGTGGATGCATACTGGACATTGTGTGATTCAACTATGAACTGTTGTAGAACTAAACTCCAGAGTTTAAAAAAAAATTGTAGCATACTGTTAGAGGAATCTATGGGCGAAATTGTATCATGTTTAAAGTCTCGTTTGATCTGGGCACGTCAAAGCATCTGGGTGCGTTATCAGCACCCCCAAATTCCTTTTCAGAAGGTGCCAGCCATTTGGGCTGGGGGCTGTTGCAGCCCACACCACAATCAACACATCAAAGCGGGTGGGCAATCAGAGGAGATCAGATCCGGTCACAAAGGGGGAGCGAGTAATTTGGGAACAGCGGTCGAACAACAAAAGACGTTTTGAGAACACCCGTCGCGCCCAGGCGACATTTGTCATCCGCAAAGTCCGCGATATGCTGATACAGTGTAGACCAGACCGAAAGGCGCCAACGTGCCGGTGGTTCAAAGCTCATACCCAGGTAACCAATCACTACCGAGGGGCCGGACCAGGGGTACGGTATGCAAACATCGGGGGCAATGATTTTCTTGTATTTGCATATGTCACAAATAAATGTTCGAACTCGAGGAGGGGGGGCTCTGAGCGTGATCACGGAGCAACTAAACCGTCGTTCGCTCTCAGAGATCCGCTTCCGTCGATATTGAAGACAATTTTCCTGTGTGCCGAGTCGTTTCTTTAACTTTGTCCGAGAAAATCTCTGACACATACCTTCCTGTAGGCGTCACAGACCAGGATCATCTCCTGGAGCAGTTTGCCATCCGGAGTGGTTTTGGGCACAATCTCCCAAAATACAAGCAGTAGTTTTTTGATGGTGTGGTCTTGAAGAGGCAGCACAAAGCGGATTATGGTCATCAGCAGACCGGGCAATTTCTCCCCATTCAAGATCATGATAATCACTTTCTTCAGTGCCTCTGTTTTTGCTTTAATCTCCCCCTTTTCTGTAGAATTGATGGACAAAAATTTCAATATGAGCAAAAATATAAAAATCAGACTTTCACATCTCATGGGACTCCATCAAAAAAATCTACAAGAATCAATTACCCAGATCAGTCTTGAGGCTGACTTCAGAGGGGGGCTCTGAGTCAGATGTGACGTTGATCAGAGTGTAGCAGACGTTCTCTGCAGCGGTCATTTTGCTGCTGGACTTGGAATGGCCTTCAAGAATCCAAATAGTCACTGGTAGGCTTTTCACCTGCGATGAAGATAAAAATCAATCATCTGAGTCGACAATGCCGCACATAACTAGGTGAGGAAATTTACAGAGCAAATCAGGACTGGAATTAATGATTACTATAATAAGTGAATAATTTGTGAACTACAGTTTTAATTTCCATCCCTTTATTCAAAAACAGGTTATGATTCAGTGACTGGTTTGGGCCATAACATCAGTCTGCTTTTGTGGAGGACTACAGAAATCTCAGAACACTTTGAGAGAGTAAAACTCAAAGATTTCTACACATATAAGTAAAATAAGGTTTCTGAAGGATTTATTGGGTTTCAAAATAAGTGTCAATTAATGTAATAACCCATTAGTTGTTGAATAATTGATTAATTGGTACACCTGTAAAGCAGATGAGTTCATGACAAACATGGTTGAACAAACCTGGTCAGACATAAAATAATTTGCCCAGCTGGATTCAGAAAAAAAAGTACAGTTTTGTTTTGAATTGCTCTAAATAATTTATCGTCTATTGAAAATGCTGTGCGCTGAAAAAAGAAAAAGGCACTGCTGTCAGTATGATCAACATGTCAAGAAGCCTTTGCGTGATGCTCTGCGAGAGTAAAACCAAGTAAAATTTGATCGAGCAGGATAAATAAGGTACTTGCGATTTGTATTGTTTGTGGGCTCATGGCATATGTCTAAACGACGCGCGATTCCAAGGTAAAAGTTCCATCACATCGCTTACACACAACAGACTTACATTTAAAAACTATGACGACCCATAGGCAGAATGCGACTTCGCGTCAATAAATAGGATTGACACGTCGTATAAAGCGTATTGACCTCCGTGCTACGTTGACATCCGCGCAGTTACGACAGCAAGATAAGATGTTTCATCAATTACCGCAAACAACAATTAGTCTCATTCAATGTATAGGACAAACGACAAAGTTATCACCAACCAATTCATAACCACTGGCTAGCGTCAGTTTCTCTTCTCTTGTCTAGGCCAATGGATTGAAATGGAGGACACTGGTGCTAAAGCTAGCTCGCAAACTGACTCAAAATAAAGCATATTAACGCGGTTAGCAGTAGTAGTAAAGGTTACGTGCACAATTTACCTCGAACCACCACCAATAACTCGCAAATGGTCCTTCCTATGGGAGCTGTATTAATTACATTTATAAAAATCAGTCGGTCTGTTTGGAGAGTTGTGCCTTCGTGTCGCCACGACTTCCTCGTGACGTGGAGCCTGGGAAGGTTGAGCGCCACATCACTGCTACGGTGTCTCAGAAGGGTGAAATTAACGCTACCGGAAAACAAAGCGCTATTAAAAGATACGTCCTCTATAACAAATGTGGTAAGAATCAACGAAGTACACTAGTCCTGCATTTATGTACAAAAAGAGACTGTAGTTCGCTCATTAAATTCATTTTGCGTAAAGTACTAAATATTTTCCTTCATGTAGAGCGGAGCCAGATGAGGTGGCACGGGCATCAGATTAGGATGTGATCACCAGAGAGGTGTTCAGGAGGTATCCTAATCTGATGCCCCTGCCACCTCATCTGGCTCCGCTCTACATGAAGGAAAATATTTAGTACACCTCCCTGGTGAGGTGTTCAGGGCATGTCCCACTGGCAGGATGCCCCGGGGACGACCCAGGACGCGCTGGAGAGACTATGTCTCCCAGCTGGCCTGGGAACGCCTTGGGATCCCCCGGTAAGAGCTGGAATAAGTGGCTGGGGAGAGGGACGTCTGGGCTTCCCTGCTAAAGCTGTTGCCCCCGCGACCCGATCGGGATAAGTTGTAGAAGATGGATGGATGGACTAAATTATATGACTGTCACATGATCGAAACAATTTGTTTTGTATGTTGTATGTTGCACATACAGCCCATTTGACAATAAAGTTGTACTTGACTTGATTTAGTGCTGGAACAAAATGATCACTGCAAAAACACAACTTTTTATTGTATTGGACTAATTGCATGAAGTTATCTTGAAAACTGGTTAACGCGGTTATGAAATAGCAATCACAGTACAGTACCATACGTTATACAGTATTTCTAAAGTTCTAATGATTTGCACGGCCCCCTGTGGCACAAAATGTCACTTCACAAAAGGTGAACAGGATAAACTACAGTAAAAAAAATGTCATGATCATTTTATTTAGTAATTTACCTATAAAACAGCAAAAAAATCTAACCAACTAACACACTCAACTTTTGACTTCTTTACAGTAATTAATGAACAGGGTAATGCAATTTTTAATGTAACATATTTATCTTATTCTGCAAAATTAAAGGAGATATGTAATTTTCCAGAGCGGCACCGTGAGCGACTGGTTACCATGTCCACCTCACAGTGCAGAAGTGCAGGGTTAGATTCCGGCTCCGGCCTTCCCGTGTGGAGTTTGCAAGTTATCTTGGTGCCTGCATGGGTTTTCTCCGAGTACTGTGGTTTCCTCCCACATTCCAAAAACATACATGACAGGTTAATGGAACACACTAAATTGTCCATAGGTGTGATTGTGAACCATAATAAATGTAGACTCGTCTACATTTTAGACAACAAAATAAATGAGTCTTTAGCACTTGGTCGATATTGCGCCACAAAATCCATTTTACCAAAAGGATAATAAATTACATCTTATTTCTACCATGCTCCACGTAAATTAGTCACTGAATGAGGACAAAAGGCTCACCAGGTAGAGATTACACAGAAAACCGCAAAGTCTTCTCTCAAGTTTGAATTGGAGTTCTTGTATGGTGAAATGTGGACATTTTTTAGACAGACGCTAATGAGAAAAGCATGACATTCTTTATCATAGTTGGTCAACATAAATTGAATGTGATACGTAAAAAGGGTCTCAAAGGGCTTCACAAACCCAGAATTGACTAATATTAACATTTCTTGATCTTAACTCCAAAAGAGGGCGAGGAAAAACTAAACAACAACAACAACAACAACAAAAACATCTGGGGGGGGGGGGGGAAAAAAACTTTTGAGAAAGGGCCTCAGATGGGTAGAATTCCCCTTCCAGGACAACCAGTGCATGCTGATTGGGCAGTTTAACACAATATGTTAGTTTGAATAGTGTGAGTGTCCATTTAATGAGATGAAGCACTGCAGGACAACGCCTACAGAGAAGTGTGTCCTCCTCAAAACAAAATACAAAACACTCTGGAACCTGCAGACTTGTTTTTGGCTCTCGGAACCCCCAAGAGACCAGCTTGTTGTGAATGTAGGTTTCGGGACGGAACATACAGTACCATTAAATCAACAAAATAGGAAGGTGCTAAGCCATGTAATATTATAAGTAGCAAAAGCTGGAAAACAAATCTCAAGTGGACTGGGTGAAAAAATGTATTGAAACATTTTTCAGTTAACTGTGTCATGCAATTGATGAACCGATCCATTTCAGATGCATTTTGCACTGATTCGTTGGACTGGTCCCAATGTAACTTCAGATTCTTATATTTTATTTGAAAAGCCTGAAAAAGTGGCCTAAATAACAATTTCGCCGTTTGACACCCTTAAAGTTAAGTACAGTACTTGAAGAGATGCATTTAGTTACATATGGATCTGGTGTGTGTTTTGCCTTGAGCTCGAAACGACAAGCTCCGCCCCTGGCGTTGGTGAGAGCGGAGCACGAGTCCCTGCAATGCGACTTGTGGCCTGTAGACGGCGCCGGCGAAGCCGTTCGTTCTAAAAACAACATCTCACCTTCATTCTTCAGTGCCACTGCTGGAGCATGTTACTGGGACCGACCATGGAACGCCTTCGCCGTCATGTAGTCCAGCGTTAGCGCGACTACAATAGACCGTCGAGTGGGGCTTTGGAGCGGGGTGGACGACGTGTCGCCGTCGTCGAGCCATGGCCACGCGGGAGCAAGGAGACACTGTGCACGGTAAAGCGCGGCACCACCACGACGGAGCCTGCAGCAACAGCCCGGACGGCTTCAGGAACGGCTACGTGAAGAGCTGCGTCACCCCCCTCAAACAGGACCACCACAGGGGATTTTTGTTCAGCCAAGATCTCCTGGGGTCCAACGTCTTCAGGGTTTCCGCCGTCTACGTGGGCGCCGTAGTCGTTCTGGCGCTTTCCGCGGTGGTCTCCCGGAGCTCGCAGAACGACTCGCTGTGGGATTTACGGACTTTGTTGACGGGCTTCTCGCAGTCCGCCAGTCCCCTCTTCAGCATCGGCTGTGCCTTCTTCTTCCTGACCTTCTACCTGAGGAAGAGGAAGCAGGAGGAGGGAAGCCACTGGTGGTGGCTCCTATCGCTGCCGGCATCGTGCTACCTCGGGGACTTCGTGGTGCTTCGCTTCTTGCAATGGGGAGAGGAGCAGCACCAGATGCAAATGGTGGGCAGGTTGTTGTTCGTGCTGGGATGCGTAGGGCTCCTCACGCTCGTCCCTACACTCAAGCTCAAACACTGTGTAGTCGTCCTGCTCTTCGCCAGCGTGGTGTGGCTACTTTCCTTCACCAGTTTAGGCGGGCTGCCGCCGCTCCTCAGGCCGCTGCTCGCCTGCGTCGCCGGGCTCTGCGGCTCCTTCCTGGGGCTCGGCTTCGACCAATGTTATCCGCCCAGGGACGCTCCGAGCGGGGGTTCCGCCACGGAGGACAAGGTGCCCGTCATCCGAGCCAGGAGACGCTCCAGTTGTGTGTCACTGGGGGAAACTTCAAGCAGTTATTACGGCAGCTGTAAAATGCCCCGGAGACCGTCTTTACCATGTATATCCCGAGAGCAGGTACGTGTACTGCAGCTTCCCCGTTTGTTGTTGTCGCGGGCCCAACAACAAGGCCCACATGTTCACTAGAGGAGGAAAACATCGCCTGTCGTGCGGACTTGCTGCTCGGCAATGTACAATTGCTTGATAAAAGTACATTTGAAATAGAAATGGCAGCAAGGGTTGGAAAAGTATTCACACTCGATACCAAAGCAGAAGTACAGATTTTTGCGTGTGAAAAAACGACCACGGTAAAATATAAGTTCTCATTCAACTCCTTTAATTTAAAGTAATAACGTATAGATTCGGAATCGAACGAAAGTACAGAAATTGCAGTGAGTAGAGGTGGCAAAGTTACTCAGTGTGAAAAGTAATAGTACTGATTTGACATATTTACCTAAGCAAACGTGTTAAGGAACAGAATTATAACATTGCATTAAACAGAATTGGCAAAAGTATGAATCTTTTGTATTTCGACTGGAACGGCACGTACTTATGTAAAAAAAGACTGGTTAAAGTAGAAGAACTGATTTAAATTGTTTTCGCAAGTAAAAGTAACATAGTATAGGTTCTGAAGAGAACCTAAGTGCAAAGTTACAAAAGTATACATATTGCAAAAGGACTCTGCAGTCTGTACTTAAGTAGAAATACAAACACTTGCATGAAAAAGACACATTTAAATAAATGTAAAAATACCAATCAGATTTCCAATCAAATTATGCTTTTCTGTTGACAGATTTTCTTTGATACATAACAAAAGCGGAAAAGTAACAAGGTCCGTTTTTCAAAAATGTTTGTGGCTAAATTGTCCTCAAATTCGGGGATGACCCACTCACAGTCTGTATTTTTATGTACAGATACTGGTTTAACAAAACAAAAAAGAAGCACTTTCAACTCCAGTACTCCAATTAAAACTAATACAATACATATTGAAGACCTCCTTTGTCACTCCCGTCAGCTACAGAGGTTGAAAAAATAAAACATTTTCTTTTGACAAGGAGTGGGAAGTACAGATATCTGTATTCAAATATAGGAAGTAAAAGTACAAAGCTGTTCATTCATATTTATATATATTCTATATCGTGCGGAAAATCAATGTAAGTACAGTATGTATAAGTGTTTCATTACTTCGCACCAGTGGCATTGATCGTGAATGCCAAGAGATGCTGCAGCTGAGCAAATATGACAAATAAATCAATTAATTAAGACATTTAATATAGTTAGTATGCCACAGCATATCATGACACTCCCCAGATAGCATGCAAATATGCCTCGGGGCTGTGAGCTGCATGTGAGGTAACAACACAGCTAATGTATCTGATTTGACTGGTTTAGGCCATGCGCACCCAAACATTCATTCATTCATCTCTCCATCCATTTTCTGATCCGCTTATCATTATGAGGGTCGTGGGGCATGCTGGAGCCTATCCCAGCTGTCTTCGAGCAGTTGTCTGGAACACCCTGAACTGGTAGCCAGACAATCGCAGGGCACACATAGACAAATAACCATCCGCGCTCTCACTCACACCTAAGGACAATTGAGAGTGTTCCATTAACCTGCAATGCATGTTTTTGGAATGTGGGAGGAAACCGGAGTACCCGAAGAAAACCCACGCAGGCACGGGGAGAACATACAAACTCCACACAGGAAAGCCGAAGCCAGACTCGAACTGTGCACCTCTGCACTGAGACCGACGCGCTAACCAGTCGACCACCTGGCCGCCACGCCCAAACATGATTTTTTTAATTAATTAATTAATTTATTTTATATATATGTTTTTTACTCACATCTTTAGCCTAGTAGCATAATTCCTTATGTCATCTTTTTAAGGCTTTCAGAAAACAATATTCAAACAAACAAGAGTGCAGTTGCCTCAATTCAATCTTTGCTGATTACCAAGACTTGGAGGACAAAGAATGTACACAGAAAAAATAAATACATTGCAAGCGCATTGGTAGTTTTTATTCATATTGTGACAATAAGTTCAGATAAGTAAGGCAGTTATGTAATTAGGCTAATCATGTTTTTATGGGACAGAAAATTGCTTTTTAAGATCACTCTAACACAAAGACAGATATTATTGTTTATATTATTTAAAATTTTATTGTGGAAGTACTGAATAACCTTTTTTGGGGGGAGTTCTCTATTTGACAGAACATGCACAGTGATCTTATTCATCACCCATTTTTTACTTTATGTAATGACAGAAATACCATTGCTGATTTTAAACCAAGATACCGGGAAGATATTTGGCATATGAAGGCATATCATGGAAAGGTTAGTTCTCACTCTTTCAAGGAATGGAGGCATTAGAATGAGCGGCCAAGACGGTCAGGGTTGATTTACTGAGTAGCACTTGACAGCCGGGGAATGCGTTTTCTTGTGAACAGAGATTTCATGCACATATCGATTTTAGTAATAGTAAGTACTATGATCGTCACAGCTGTTTTATTTTTCAAAAACACAAACTTTTGTTGAGCAGAACATAAGCTTCACTCAATAAAACAGAAATTAAAATCAACAAAAAAAAATGTTATCTTCAAGGATTTCTACTTAGAAGCTGCTGATGGTGTAGTGGTACACTCGCCTGACTAGTGTGCGGGCATCGTGGGATCGGTTCCCACTCAGTGGAGGTGTAAATGGTTGTTTGCCTCTATATGTGCCCTGCGACTGACTGATGACCAGTTCAGGGTGTCGTCTGCCTTTTGCCGGAAGTCAGCTGGCATAGGCTCCAGCAACAATGCATGACGTAGAGTGACACACGCAAATGACGATGGCTGTTGCTCATCATGGCGTGTGTGTGTGTGTGTGTGTGTGTGTGTGTGTGTGTGTGCGCGCGCGCACGCATGCGTGCGTGCGTGCGTGCATATGGGTGCGCACACACACGTGTGCACGTGCGGTAAGGAGTCGATCGCAGGAGGTTGGTTGTTTGAAAGTAGCTCTTCGGTCAGCAAAGGTTGGGCACCCCTGATGTAGGCGCTCTATTTTTTTACCATCTTACATCGACGGGAAAGATGCAAGTGGTGGTGGAATTATGGGGAAATGAGGCAATGTTTTTCTTTTTCATTTCATGGATGCATCCAGTAAAGACGATGTCACGTAACAGAGATGTCTACTAAACATGACGTCCAGTCATTGCGGCGCGTAATAAATTAACTGTCTTTGTGGTTGAATTACATTTATGATCATACTTTATGCACTACATTTACAATATGCAGGTCAAGTGGCTAGATTGCACTTTAAATCTTTGCTTTAATATCATTTGTTCTTTTTCAAACCCATAGTTTGGTGAAATATTTTGAACTTTATAAGTACTGAAAATAAAATATATTATTATTGTTCTACAATATAATACAATACATGCTTATTATTATTATTAGATAAATCTGCCCCATATTTTATTTTTTTTAACCGCAATATTCCACAGTGTTTTGGTTTTCCTAAAAAAAAATCTTACTTCATTAGTATATTAATTTGCTTTATAACTGGTCATTTTAGTTTAGGTTTTTCTTTTTGTTTTTTTTTTTTTAAATGGAAAATCAACTTTCAAGCCTCAGCATCAAGAATTGTTCTCTGCAGAATCAGGATTGTTCTTGACTGAATACTCACTTTTTCTCTGCAGCTTCCTGAAGTGACTATTTAAAGGTTTAGACCACGACATTGATGCCGATGATTTCATGCGCCTGTCTATGCCGTTTTACAATAAGTTTTTGCTTTAAGATAGCATTTTTAAGACAAAGGTATGTGTTTTGTTGAAGATACGTCGTCTTACTCTCGTTAGTTCATGTTAGTTTTACAGTAAAGAAGCTGCCATCTCACAAACATTGTTTTTGTGTCCTTCAGATAAGAGAACTAAAAAAAAATATGTCCAGACTATGTCACTGGTTTCCTGTAGTTGTTTTACTCATCATTGTGTTGGAGGCTACTGGAGTCACATTGAGTCAAGGGGCCTTTCAGCAGTCTGTGAGCGCTATTTAGATTTGTTTTATAGCCGTTGATGGTAGCAGTGTCATTTTTTTGCTCGCTGCCGCAAATTCAATTCAGAATGCTTTTTTGAGTTTTACTGAACACTGGCATGCAGTGAGATTGCAGAAATGTAGATGTCTTGTATTTATAACCTTTAGAGAAAAGAAAGGGTCTGATTTCAGATGAGGTGTCTTTGAGTTTTGAGACGTGAGTCATTGACCTGACCTGTTTCAAAGTCCTATTTTGTGGAATGCTCCTGGAGGTGTTGCTAACACACGTTTCAAACTTTTGCCAACTGTCCGATCAGGACAAAGAAGACATCCCACCCTGTCTTAGTACTAATGCTAAAAACATTTTTTTTTTCCTGACTGCAAAAGAAACAGAAAGATTTGATGTTGATATCAAAAGGCAGTGATCAATGACAGTAAATATGGTGTATGCGTAAATATGGTACATTAGAGGTGTATAGATCATAAAAAGGGGAAAATAATTGCCGACGGCGGCCAGGGGAGAAAAGTCGATGTTATGTGTGTATGTAAATCTATCGGAGGACGAAGTAGTCCAGAGCCACACACCTGAAACAAGCTTGATTTCGCAAGGGCAATGTATGTTGTTTGCTTCTGTGTTGTTCCTCTCTGTTGTGGTTGTGGACATGCATTTGGGACATTTTGATTTGTTTTGATGTGGTCAGTAAATGTAAATACAGCGATATTGGATCAGGGTCACTTGAAATGTTCATGTGAATTAAAAAAAAAAAAACAAAAACGTAGGTCGATTTAGTTGCAGGCTCATTGGGAGTAAAACAAAGAACTCTCAACAAACATTGTAATTCTAATTAGATCTAATTCGATCTATCCATTGTCTGAACAGGTTTTATATATATATATATATATATAAAGTGCAAAAATCCTATTTGCACCTTTGCTTTTACTGTTGTGCTAACATTAAATTTAGCTCTATCTTTAAGTCTTCCACCATTGTGTACACCGTGTTCAAATTTACTCTGTATAATGTTTACACGAAATTAAGTTACTTGAAACATATTTTAGTTTTT